GAATGAGTGATACTAGCTCCCTAAATCTTCTGACTCGGAGAAAACTCAGCCATCGGGCAGCTTTACGTGAATAATGTATGTTTTTAGATTGCTTTGTTCATTTGCATCGCTTTTTGGCTCACTTTCTTTCTTTATCGTCATTACTGATGAGAAATATCCAATTTCAAAAGCTATGGTGGGAAAAAAATTAGACATACAAATGAGGGTGAGGGTGAAAATGATGGCCATGTTTGGCAACATTCCACACCTCTTGTTTTTCATGATAGTAAAAGAAATAGAGAATGCTAATGCTCTCTATACCACCACTAACATATATATATATATATATATATATACACACACACACACACACAAATATAGAGAGTGCTGTTTGTGTTGGTTTTCACGACGGCCGGCTTCTGCAAAGTTTCATAGTTATGGTTGGAGACATGAGTGGATGGTAGTTGTAATTTATACATAAAATAACAACTGGACAGTTGACAAGAAAGATAGAAACGAGATTTTTGGATTAGGATATAGTAGTTCCCGCTAATCGATGTTGTTAAGAACAAAATGGTGGTCATTCTTAAGCTCTTTGAAAATTTGATTTGGGACTTTGGAGAATCCTCTATTAGCTCCGGTGCCACTCTGTTCTATTGTGTTGACTTAACAAAAAGAGTATCTTGTTTAGGAACAAACAGATATATACCAACAAAATTTTAGAGGGGTCTGTTGGCACCAAAACTTGGCAGCCATCTCAGCGATGATGTGGACCAATGACAAGGTGACAAATATTTTCGACATGGCACCATGAGGATTGGCTATATGGAAATTATTGGAGAAAAAGGAGGTGACCCATGGAATTATATTTGATATATTGTTTGGTTGCCAAGCTAAATGGAAGGTTGCTGAATTTTAGCAATAGATAGTTGACTACTTCATAGCATATTTGCAGACTTAAGGCAAATAAGGAATATGGGTTTTGACTAATTCAAAGGGAAAGCCATGATGGAGATGAATTCGTATATTATAGCTGGAGAGGGGAAGTTCATTTGAAGAAAGAGACCTAGTCAACATCAAACCCAATTTGAATTACAAAGGAGAGAAAATCAAGGAAGGAGATATTTTAGCAAGAAATTAGGAAAATAAGTTGAGAGAAAAATTCTATAAATAGGAAAGTTGTAATCCTATTCCAATTTGTCCTGCACCACTCACAAAATATGAACTTCTTATTCAGTTGACTCTACGTCATTTTATCAATTTCTTTATGGCAATTTTCATTCAAAGAATTTAAGTTCCAGTAGCTTACTCTTCTTTTGCAATGCTTTAATTACGCTATTTCAATTCAAAATGTTTTCAATTCAATGGCAATCAATTAAATTCTTGCCACTGCATTTTGCTTTCATTCCTTCACTTTCCATGCAATTTCCATTCTGCCAGTTTTAATTATGCTATTTTAATTCAAAATGTTTTCAATCCAATGGCAATTGATTAAACTCTTGTCATTGTATTTTGTTGGCAATTGATTAAATTCTTGCCATTGTATTTTGTTTTACTGCATTTCTTTCAGTCAATTTCCATTCTGTCAGTTTTAATTATGCATATTTCAATTCAAAGTGTTTTCAATTCAATGGCAATCGATTAAATTCTTGTCATTCATTTTCATTCAGCCATTTTCTTTACAGTCTATTTTAATTCAGCCCTTTTCATTCAAATTTTCTTCAGTCATTGCATTTTTATTTCTTTTAGCACCTAGATAAAAATTCCTTGCATCAAGGCATAAAAGAACTTTGCTAGGAGTTCTTAATAATCTCTCTCCCACACATTCGTCTGAAAGTCAGCCATCGGAAAAAGGGATAGGCTGGTGTTCATTTCATAATTTTGGGTGTTTTATACAAATACTTTGGCGCGCCCGCAAGAGTCCATCGACCGGCGTAAAAACCGCGCGAATAGGGTCATTCTTTAATAATTTTTCATTTTCGTCAAGTGTTTTTATGACATATAAGAGGACTTTCATAAAAAGTCAGATTATAATATACTATTAAGATCTTCAGTGTAATGTTTTCTATGTTTGTGAACAATAATGAAATTGTTCTCTTTTTTATATTTTTCAAATTGTTCTCTTTTTTATATTTTTCAACTTTTGTTATACAATACAATCTAATCATATTCTTAGTTTTGTAAAACTTACATTCTAATTTCAATCAGCCTCAAATTCATGTCTACGATGCACCATCTCATAATCATGCACAATTTTTAATCGTATTGAGATTCATATGGAACCGAGAATAGGTACTTTATTCTGTAAATGTGTCTCACTTGAATTGTGATTTATTAACTCACTGCAATATGTTGAGGCAAGAAGATGTTTCAATTATTTCTTTAATAGTAATGATCTTATGATTAACTAATAGGTGTGAGGGATCCCACAACTAACCAGTCCTTTTGTTGGGTGTGGCACTGAGTAGTCCTTTTAGGTTAGCCTATTGTAACATTAAGCTTTTAAACACGGTATTTAACATGTCATATGTCTGTTTGATTGGTTTATGGACAACCATTTAGCAGTTATCAACTTTATTGTATTACTTAGTTGATTTTTTTATTTTTATTTATGGAACCGTTTTTATGATTTTGACACTAATCTGTGGATATGAAGCTAGTATTTGTATTCATGTCCTGTGAATTGAATGGAGAACTATTGAACTCACGAGTGAGAAAGTGGTTTAAGCCAAAAATACGTGGTTTGCTGAGCTTTGAGACCTTTTTTTTTTAATTTTTTTTTTTAACATTTTTTAAAATTCCTAGTGAACATAGAAGATACCTGTTGAGCTCCAAAACTTCTGTTTGAATTGACTAAATGTCTCTGTAGTTATTGTACTGCAGCCTATTATTCCTCTCCCTCCACATAGAATAAGTGACTGCAAGTCTCTAACTGAGAAATTTTGGTAATAGCTTTAGTTTGTTATTTACCCCTAAAATTATATGCACCCATCTTAATAATATTATTCAAGCTTAGGTAGGTAATTGTAGGGTATATTATTTAGTAGCTATAAAACATCAGTTCTACTGTTCTAGTGTAAGTGAAAGAGCGGTGGGAAAAAAAGAAAAGAAAAGATGCTTGTGGTCCTAAATTTTGTGTGTATAATACCCAACTCATGAAATCAATCAGATCATATTTCAGACGTTTATATTTGAGTTTTCAGCCTCCCTTCCAAAGCCAGCCACAATATAAAGGAGGAGTGCCAAGGAATAAATGAAGCCTTTAAACTACCAAATATTATTCCAAAAATCACAAGGAGGTATGTGTGATGACCCTGTGGGCGGGTGTGCCGTGGGCGGGTGCGAGAGACACTGTCAGGCTACCACACTGGCAAGCTACGGGTGCACAGTCCCACATCGCCTGGGTAGAGGAAAGGTGAAGTACTTATATGTAAGTGTGTCACCTCCAATTGGTATGAGGCCTTTTGGGGTAAAGCCGAAAAGCAAAACCGTGCGGGCTCAGGCCCAAAGCGGACAATATCATACCATGTGGTAGAGTGGGTTGTTACAAATGGTATCAGAGCCTGACCCAGCCGGAAGTGTGGCCAACGAGGACGTTGGGCCCCAAAGGGGGGGTGATTGTGATGACCCTGTGGGCGGGTGTGCCGTGGGCGGGTGCGAGAGACACTGTCAGGCTACCACACTGGCAAGCTACGGGTGCACAGTCCCACATCGCCTGGGTAGAGGAAAGGTGAAGTACTTATATGTAAGTGTGTCACCTCCAATTGGTATGAGGCCTTTTGGGGTAAAGCCGAAAAGCAAAACCGTGCGGGCTCAGGCCCAAAGCGGACAATATCATACCATGTGGTAGAGTGGGTTGTTACAGTATGCAACCCATTACCAATAACATTCCTTATATGCAACCTCCCTAAGTTTTAATGATTGTTTATATTGCGAAAATGAAAAGAAAAATAGATCAAACACATCAAAATACAGATTTACGTGGCTCACCCAAAAATTAGAATAAGACCCACGAGTTAATAGGAATTTCACTATGTTCGAAAAACTGCCCACAATACAAGGGATTTAGAATGAATATATTCCATGCCCTCGTGCACTAGAATAACATAATAAGTATGAAAAATAACTAAATACCCAATATAACAAGTTGTATTCATGAAGTTGGACTAAATTGTAGAGTATTTATCAGATTCCACACTACCATGAGTCTTAACATATAAAACTTGTAATTAATCATGTCTAACATATTATTGATTATCTAATCAATGTGGTGATTGACTCATGAATACATAAATGTCTAATTGGAGACAAATTATAGAACTCAGGGTCTTCAAGTCAAATGAAAGCTTGCTAGACCATTCGATTAATCAAGTAAACAAAGAAAAATAGTACGTTATTTTGATAAAGTCCATTTGAATTGACAATTTAAGTGATGAGGTTGCTTGTTCCTTAATTAATATATGTATAACAATACTTTAATTTTCTAAATGTTGGTTTTCCCTAATGAGAATGATTGGCCAGGAAACTTCAGACAGTTCACATCACAAAATCACAATGCTCAAACAAATGGTTACGCTTTAGAAAATTTTGGGCCTACGTAATTGTTTGCCAGAACCACTTTCACTTTCTCACTCCAACTTAACCGTGATCGAACTTCTAACAACATGCTTAGCAGAAACCCATTGTAGAAATGCTTGAATAATTTTGGGGCTATCATCTCGGACAGTTGATTGGGTAAATGTCACACTATATGCCATCTGCTGGTTGACCTCACTGAAGTCGAGCCTAGTAGGGTTGATAGTTATATATACACCAGGAGGTGAAACAATGTCTATAAGTGTAGGATGAACTAGCGTTTCCCACATTTATCACTATCCTTGTGTATGTCCTAGCATTAGACCCGAGCACAACTGAAAATGAAGGATAATTTAGCTGCGCTTCCGGTATACTTGACTCTTCAGAGCAGTTCTGTAATGTTTCCGATTTTTGCCATTTTTCATTTTTTGGAATTTTTAGATTTTTCGAGGGTCTTTTCGTCTTTTCTCGTTTTACGTGTCGGATATCGTGGGGTGTGTCAGGTGTATCCGAGAGTTTATTGGGGCATTTTATTGAGTTCAGGACTCTTTGAAATGCAAGGGTTGCTATTTTGACATTTTTTAGTTTTTCGGACCGAAAAGTCCCGTGTGGGACCCGCTACCGAAATTGTTGCGTATGGGAGTTTTGTTTGGGTCCAGTTGCACCTCATTTATTTTATTTTATTTTTTATGTTTTGTGTGGTTGCGAATTATTATGTATATATATATATACATATGTATGTATATATATATATTGTTGGTAGAAAAAAAAAAAAAAAAAAAGGAAAAAGAAAAGATATTTTAAATTGAGTGGGACCCACCTTATTACATTTTATGTAATAAACCAAAGAGGTCGTTACCAGACCTTAGCTTCTTTCTCTCTCCCCGCGGTTGCTTCCCTTTTTCCTCTCTGTTTTTCTATTTTTCTTTTTCATTTCATAACTTCAATCTTTGATTACTTCTCAATCATTTGGAGATTTTTGGTACTGTTTGCGGCAAAACTGAGAGTACATCAAGATCTACACATTGATGTAAGCAATTCATCATTTGGCCAACCATAGGATTTTCAAAATTCTAGGGCTCAATTTGGGGGTTTTCTCATTTTTAGAGGTAGGGGTCTCTAATTCCCACTTTCTTGCACCTTTGTGAGTTTTTCTATTAAAATTGTTGTTATGCATGCTTAATTTGAGTTAGTTGTCTCTTAAATGATTTAATTGTGTATATAAAGCATGCAACGATGTATATTTGTTGATTTACATAGAAAACATGCCTAAGTGTTGATTCCTTATGTGTATTGGGTATTAACTTACTAGAAATATGTATTTGAAACATACAATTATGTGTATTACTTTGTGTATATGAAACATATAATTATGTGTATTACTTTATTTGGGTGGAAAGTATGTTTAAGTGTTAATTTTTCCATACTCATTATGTCGTTAATTTGCTAGAAATGTTATGTGAGAGCATGTGAAATTTTTGTGTGTAGTTTAAGTTAAAATTGTTGAAGAATGATGAATACACATGTATGGCATAACACATCCATGCATGAGCATTGGGAGGAAAATGGGAATAATTTGTTTGAAATGAAAAAAGGAAAACTTTGGGAAGAAGTTTTGATTAAATGATTTTGAGAAAACCCGGTCGCTGCGGAGTCACCAAAAGGCCGGTGTGTTAATTAACCTAGAGAGAACTAGGGGAAAATACCTTAATGTGGTTGAGCTAGCTGGGCCCAAATGATGCCGCAGAGGTACCAAGGGTCAGGGACAGTAGCCAATCCTTCTCTCGTGTTGCTGTGGAGTCACCAACGGACGGGTTATATTAACAGTTTGAAAAGTGATGAATGATTTTGAAAATGGGGAGTGACATACATGGCATTGCATCCATGGCATGGCATTTGCTTGTTTTAAACTTGAAAAAAAATAATAATAATAAAATTAGATTTTGTCCTATTCATTGTTTGGATTCACGGGGTTACAAGAGGTGTGTCTTAGGCACCACTTACTGAGTAAATTGCTCACTTCATTTTATTTAACATTTTTCAGGGCCAGAAAAGAAAATAGTGGATGCCGATCCATCTCAACCATGAAGAGGACTAGAGATCTATTTTGGCACCTTTTGCGTATTAGTTAATCTTTTGTAAAGTCACAAACTATGGAAAAATGTATTCATTTTTGCAAATCATGGCCATGTAACTTAACTAAGATACTTGATTACTTTCGATGTAAATTAAGACTATGTAAATGCTTATGTTGAATGAGAGGATGATGTTATATCTTTGAGAAATTAGTAATGGTTATATATGTGTAATGTGGTACATTTTGCCGTGAATTCGGAAATGTTAAATAAATTTTGAAGGTCCAAGAGAGGCCATTGCATTTTTTTTATGCATTTAAGCAGGTTAGCGTAGGCCCCTTTTTAGCAAAGGTCATACTAATTTTTTTATTTTTTATTTTTTTTATTTTTTTATTTTTTAAATTGGCATCAGTTTACGGTCGTTACAAATTTAGTATTAGAGTTTTAGGTTCGAATACCTTTCGGATGACGGGTAGTGGCTTACCTTGAAGGGGTAGAGAGTTGACTTGCATCGTTTATGTGCATGTGTTAAAGTGCTTAACTGTTTAAGAAGCATGCTTACTTGTTACCTATTTAAATGTTTATTGTTTTGAAAGGCATGCCTATTTGCTAAGTGCAGACATGTTTAAATTGTGATACATGTAAATAAAGTATTTATGTTAATTGTAAGCATGCCATATATGATGGGGCGGAAAGTATGAGATATACGATAGTGGCGAGAAGTAGGCACGGTCCGTGCAATTTTCTTTTATGTTAATGTGACAAGTAATGAGCATGGTATTGTGGTTTCGTCCATTTTGTATACGTGTATATCTATATTTTTATGTGTTTATGCGGTCGAGTATGGGATGGTTGTGTGAGTTTTGACCTGAGTTAGCGAGGAGCTCGGTTGCTCCAGGGTAGTTGGGTGTCAGTTCTTATCGAACGGATGGCTTGGTGTTTTAGCTCATGGATTGAGCTATTTGGTTTGTAGCTATTTTTTATCCTCTTGTTGCATTTTGTGTGGTGCTTAGAGCACGACTTCGAACGGGTTGCATTTCAAGGCATCGTAATTGCGTTGTGTGAGAGTTTCATGCTTTGGTGTATGGGTTCTAGTGACTGTGGAGGTCAGGTGTGCGAGTGAGGGTTTTGGTATGACTATAGAAAGTTAGTGTTAGTGACTTGGGTCACAGTTTAGTGCGGAGGTTCTTAACGAACCAGACGTGGTAGGTGTGATAGAGATTGTTTAAGTCACAAATGTAGTTTGTGAGTTGTAGATATGAATCATTTGGTATGGTCTAGGAAACATGTTGGTTCAGGCTGTCACGGAGACTGGTTTATTGAGGGGTGATCCTTGTATTGGAGAACTACAAGAGTGTGCTATGGGTAATTGACTCTCGGTGAGTCGATTGCATGGCTCGGTCGATGAGCGGAGTTCTGGGTTAGTACGGTTGTCTAGAGAGTCTCGAGGTGATGTATAGTGGTTAGTTTTAGTTCTGTATAGTAGGATTGCACTATAAGGCAGGTAGTATGGAGTCATTGGAGTGCTTGGTTGTTTATGGATGAAGTGATAGCTGGTGAGTATGGTGTTATCAAATGAATTATGTTTTAGAATTTGAAAGATGTGGATTCAAGTTGTATTTCAATTGTGTCTGATGTATCAAGAGATAGTACTTGGTGTTTGAGGATCCGGAAAGGTAGACTGATAATAAAAATGAGTGGAATGAGGTTGATCTTGTAGGTTTAGTTGGTAGGCCATTTGATTTTGTCGAGGTCAATAGTGTTCTAAGGAACATTGATGAAGGGAGGTAGTGACGTTGAACCTAAAGTATGAGGTTTTCTCATTTAGGCATGTAGACAGCCTTAGAACGAGTAGATTAAGTTGTCGGTTAAGCGTTAATGATTAATGACATCATTGATGGTATTGAGGTAATAATTGGGTGTTGAGCATTATGGGCCTTATGCTCATTTTTGTTTTGAGGATTTATCGGTATGGTATTGTCGTATTGAGGTTCTTTTCTAGTAGTATGCAGTGATCGTTGTGGGGAGTATCGAGAGTAATGCTTGTTCTTTTGTTACGATGATGTTATCACAAGGATATTCGAGGAAAAATCCTTTAGTAGTGGCTTGATGGTACGGTGGGATGGTAGGATAGAATTGTGGTTGGAATGAGTGGCAGTAGAAGTGTTATGGTGTTGTAGTGTGATGCTTAGTGCTGATGATCAGAGTGGTTTAAGGTATGATCCAAATGCGGTTTAGAAATTACGAGTTGTTTATTGTGTGTTGTCAGGTAGGTGATGGATTGTACGCCAGTTGAGGCGATTGTGGACGGTTTGGTCATTAGAGCCAATAAGGACGACGTTGCCAGATAAGCACCCTTTTCTTTTGACAAGTCAGTGGGTCGTTGTGATTAAGGTCACGGGTTTTGTGTACACAGTGATTGAGCCAACGTTGCCTTCAAAGGGTAGAGGTGGAACAAATGATTATGTGTCGTTGTATTTCATAGAGTTTCTCATTGAGAGATTATTGGGTAGGATGGGACGCGGTGTCCAACGTACAGTGATGGTTACTAGTGTTAGTATGTTGAGGGCGTTAGTGCTTTTATCTGATTGGTTTCAGTTAGCATAGTATTGCGGAGAAGTGTGGCTAGGTTTCTGTGTTGATTGTGTCGGACAGTCTGTTAATGGCGAGGTCGCTTAGATTGGTGTTCGTGGTCTCATATGTGCTTCCAAGTTAGTTCTTCTCCTTGTGTATAAGGAGTTCATTTCATCTCAGGAGAGATTGGGTGTCTATGGTTGGATGAACGATGAGTAGCGTGTGACAGGTTGTCGGGTGCATTTAGGTGTGAGTCATCAGACTCTTGTGAGAGTGGGGTTTGTTACCCTTTTCCGTTGTTCTAGTCTTGGCAAGGCCGTCGTTTGTCATGAGTCTTGTTCTCCGTTTAAGAGTTGTGCGCGCCAGTGGGTGGACGGGCCTGTGTGTAGTTAGTTATGTTGTTAGAGTTCACCGGTAAGGTTTGGTTGTATAGGTCGACTCATTCCCACGGAGGGAGGTGGAGTCTTGAGTTTTTGTAGTGTTTATTTTGAGAGTGGTTTGGCTGGTAGGATGTGAGGCATGGGTTGTTGAATAGGGGTTGTGTTTTCGATGTTTAGTACTAGCGGTGATGGCTAGGAAATATGCCGTGAATCGTAGCTTGAGGATAATTAGGTGATGTGATGTGACTCATGTATTTGTAGAAGTGATTGATTCCAACATTTGTCTTGAGGACAAATGTTGGTATTGTTTGAATGTTTTGCAACTAGAGCGTGATTATGGGATTCTGTTGAAGAACTGTAGGAATGATTGACCTTGGTTTTGAGGTTTCAGACATGAGACAGTCGTATTGTGTGTTATGAGGAAGTAGGAATTGAACCGAATGATGTTATGGAGTCGTCTACCATGGATCGGTGTTTAGAATAGATTAAAGATCCTTATACTGGTTGATTATGACGTTTGGTGTCGTGTCGCTTTTAGTTTGTTATGATTGTGTGATTAAGGCATGATTGGGATTTTTAGAGTTGTTATGTAATTGCATAGTTGTTGAGGTTCCGTATAGCGATGGATGGATAGTGAGTGGATCTCGTGGTTACTTTGAGAACTATGTGGGGTTGTGTTTGAGGTTTAGAATTGAGGACAGGAACGATGTCTATGTTGAGATCAAATCGATGATGAGAATGTCCTGGCTAACCATTTCTCCCGAGTCAGTCCATCTTTAGCACAATGTCGGGTCAAAGTTCAAGGATTATTCTGACTTGTTAGTGACGGTGAGAGCATGGTTTTGCGCGTTGTGTCGGTATAATAGTGTGAATTCAGGTGGTCGATCTCGGGTGATGAGGTGTGTTAGGTAGCACCAAGTATCCGATAAAAGGTTTGTGGTATGATCATTGATTATTGAAGATCTTGTTTTAAGGATTTGTGTCCTGGGTACAGGATGGTGCGTTTTACTAATTTGGTGACTAATGTTTATGCAGTTATTGGAATAATTGTTGTTTGGTCATCTTGAGGTTGATAAGTATAGTGATCATCGTAAAGTGCGATTAGTAGTCGTTGGTGTGATTATGTAATGGTGTAGTTACGTGTTAGATAACGAGTACTTGGTCTAACAGAGATGTATAAAATTGGGATTTAGTGTGTCCTTTGAAGGATGAGCTGAGGTTGGATGTTGTCTTATTCGGTGATCTGGTGACCGTTCTTCTATCGGGCTTTGGAGCCTTTTGTGGCAGTGTAGAGTGGACCGATGTCCTTTTTGAGTCGTGGTATAGCGTAGGGCATACTAGCTAGTCTTGTGTTCTAATGTTATGAGTGATGAGTACCCTCATAGGGCGGTGAACATTGTGTTTTAGTGGTAGTGGTATGTGATTACCCATTGATGTCCACTGTCAGAGACAATAAGGATGGCGAGTTCGTAGTCTTGTGATCTTATGAAGTGTTTCTCGGGAAGGTGTGGCTGTGGGTCTCCTTCTTTAAGGAGGGTAGATTTCGAGGACGAAATCTTTTAAGGAGGGTAGAATGTAATGTTTTCGATTTTTGCCAATTTTCATTTTTTGGAATTTTTAGATTTTTCGAGGGTATTTCTGTCTTTTCTTGTTTTACGTGCCGGACACCATGGGGTGTGTCAGGTGTATCCGGGAATTGATTGGGGCATTTCATTGAGTTCAGGACTCTTTGAAATGTAAGGGTTGCTATTTCGGCATTTTTTAGTTTTTCCATTCGAAAAGTCCCGTGTGGGACCCGCTACCGGAATTGTTGCGTACGGGAGTTTTGTTTGGGTCCAGTTGCACCTCATTTATTTTATTTTATATGTTTTGTGTGGTTGTGAATTATTATGTATATATGTATGTATATATTGGTGGTAGAAAAAAAAAAAAAAAAAGGAAAAAGAAAAGATATTTTAAATTGAGTAGGACCCACCTTATTACATTTTATGTAATAAGCCAAAGAGGTCATTACCAGACCTCAGCTTCTTTCTCTTTCCCCGCGGTTGCTTCCCTTTTTCCTCTCTGTTTTTCTATTTTTCTTTTTCATTTCAAAACTTCAATCTTTGATTACTTCTCAATCATTTTGGAGATTTTTGGTGCCGTTTGGGCAAAACGGAAAACACATCAATATCTACACATTGATGTAAGCAATTCATCATTTGGCCAACCATAGGATTTTCGAAATTCTACGGCTCAATTCGGGGGTTTTTATCA